TTCCGGGCATGTCCCACCGGGAGGAGGCCCCGGGGAAGACCCAGGACACGCTGGAGGGACTATGTCTCTCGGCTGGCCTGGGAACGCCGCGGCATTCCCCCGGAGGAGCTGGAGGAAGTGTCTGGAGAGAGGGAAGTCTGGGCATCTTTGCTTAGACTGCTGCCCCCGCGACCCGGTCCCGGATAAGCGGAAGAAAATGGATGGATGGACTTAGTTACAGTGTGTGATCACTCAATCATTAACAGTGTGTGTTTACCTAATCACAAGAAGCGCCTTGGCCTAGGGAGTTGTACTTGGTATAGCTCCGCTCCAAGGGAGTTATCTTTGGGTAAGTCATGATAAATTCCAGCTGCATGATGAGAGGAATGTGTAGGGGAGCGGGGAAAATAGAATATAATACACAGTCTTGGTAACTTCACTTCAGATCATCTGCTCTGCTGCTTGCTGTATGATCTCCAGATATATCTGCAATAAAAGTAATAGTGCATTTTGATATTTGGTGTGTGACTGAAATTCTTTCCACTATCTGGACTCGAGAGAAGTGTGGGACTTCACAAGACATACAAAATAGTAATAGAATTGATGAGTTTAAACATAAATATAAAGGTATGTGTCAGTCAAGATATATGCAAGAACAGGCTTAATGATTAACCAGATGGAACATTGTGGGTGTAGTGTATGAATGTTAACACTTTGTAATAATTCTTTAGTATATTACTTATGTGGTGTAGAAGATAATTATTTAAGAATGTAATTATGTAAGAGTGTTAACACTGTTATAATTTTTTTTAGTATAATACTCATTTACTGCTTGCAAACCAATGATGGTAAGATGATGTCATGGGGTAGGACTGGATAAGTCTGACTTCTTCCTACTCCATTCAAGTATGTACTAGGTATAAGCACATTGATATTGGATTAGCATTTGTTGGATATGTGTAAAATTATGTGTGTTGTCATATCAACTGTCTTTACATGCTTGGAAGAATAAATCAAATCAAAGATTATGAATCTAGAATGACAGCAAATCATCATGTTCATCAGTGACTTCTGATCAGTGCTGATATTTGCAGCTAAGTTAAACAAGAAGTCTGTCTTCTTCTCTGTTCTCAGAGTCACATTGACACCTGCTGGATGGTATGAGTGTTTCACTATGTGATTGATCATTGCTATTGATTACAGTTAATCAAGCAATGTTTTAGTGATTTTAACCTTTCCATCCTTTATTGCATTTACTCTGAAGCATCTGCATATGTAGAACATCATTACTTTGACTTAAATGATCATTTTAATTCATTTTTGTCTCCAAATTATTAAAACATCTCAATAATATTTAGTGACATGTTTGTACTGCTGTGAATGATTTATAAAAGGCTGCTGAATCTAAATTACTACTACTAAGTACATAGTTCTATTAAATAATATCTTTACGTATATTTTGGTCTAGTTTATCTCCTAATAAATGAAGCTGCATGTGCTAGCAAAGAAATCGTAACACTAATATAGAGAATTGGTTTTATTGGCCATGTGTGATGGACACACGAGGAATTTGACTGAGATACATCAGCTCTCAATGTGCAAAACAGTAAACCAGCATAAGGCTGTGTAATATAACAAAATAAGCAGTATTAACAGCAACACTGACAGGAATAAACAGTGCAAGCAATGCAAAATAAGCAGTATAAACAGACAGTGAACAATGCAGACAACAAGGAATGTTTGTTGAAATTAGATAAATAGGGATAAGTGAGGGGTCAGCAGTGATCCTCTCCACCCTCCTTTTGACCCGTGTGGTGTACAGGTCCTCCATGGAGGGCAGCCTCACACCAATGATCTTTTCTACAGTCCCGACTGTCTGCTGAAGTCTGTACTTGTCCTGTTTGGTTGCTGAGCCAATCCAGACAGTGATGGAGGTGCAGAGAACAGACTCAATGATTCCTCTGTAGAACTGTATCAGCAGCTCCTGAGGCAGGTCGAACTTCCTGAGCTGGCGCAGGAAGTACATCCTTTGCTGTGCCTTCTTGGTGATGGTCCTGATGTTGGACGTCCACTTCAGGTCCTGGGAGATAGTGGAGCCCAGGAACTTGTAGGACTTTACTGCTGATACAGTTCTGCCAAGTATGGTGACTGGGGATAAGGTGGAAGGGCTCTTCCTGAAGTCCACTGTCATCTCCACTGTTTTGAGCATGTTCAGCTCCAGGTTGTTGCGGCTACACCACAGGACCAGCTGCTCAACCTCCC